TAATGGCTAATAATTTTATACGATGTCAATGTGTTTGAACAACTCAGCCGTTTGTTTCAGGATTGTGTGAACATCAACTGTTTCTATCAATCTATACTAATATATAAATCTACAGTGGTTTTTACGGATGTTCCGTTATAAGTACTGAACCGTGCACCCGATTGACTTGAAACTTGGTATCCATGTAGAAAATAAATGTACCTAATGGATAGGCTAATATTTATATGAGAGTTGGACTCCCTAATAATAATGACAATAAATAATAATGTTTATTTTAAATGCCCCGCGAAGCAGGCCAGTACGGCTAGTAATATATAAAGTAAGTATAAATATATATTGTTTTGTATCTTGTAATATACATATATTATTATATGTAATGTTTAGTGTATGCGCTAGGTTTGTGTTCCTAATTCTTCTTTCCTTCTGCGGGCCTACTGGAAGAGATTTCAACATGAAATAAGTAGTGCCCTTGTACTCTGTATCCTTATTGTCGTGTTTCTTCTAACAGCTGTGTGTACAAAATATATTAAATAAATAAAATAATATTTATCTATTCTATATAATATTAATACGTGAAGCAAAAACTTTGTACCCCTTTTTACGAAAATAGCGCGGTCGGAGGAGCATAAAATTTTCCACACTTATAGTTTATATACAGAGGGCGGGCAGAATGCTAATATATTTTTTAAAATATGCATAAAAATTTATATAAAATCAAAGATCAATAAATAAAAACATGACACACGCTACGATGTATTTGACACACACGCGTATAAACTCTTTTGTTTATTGTTAGCCTAAGGTCAAGATGAGAACAGATTATATAATATTGTTTGTCTTCAATATTATTTAACTATAGTGTAGGCTTGGTGAAATTTGTTATTACAGAGGTCTGTGATAGCCTTTGAGAATATTCAAACTTATAATTGAATTAATTGTAGTCGAATGTCGACTACTGGGAGATTAGTATTTATTTAATTGTCATTTGCAGTTTGAGAAATACATACACAATCTGTAATAATTTGATTATACGCCTAAACAATTGGGGGAGGCCATATTGTTTCACGGTAGAAATAGGCAAGTGGATGAGATGCGTGTGCGGTTACAATAAGACTTATGGTCGGTAGTGACATTGAATTATTTTAACTGGTGGTAGGACCTCTTGGGAGTCCGCACGGGTAGGTACCACCACCCCGTCTATTTCCGCCGTGAAGCAGTAATGCATTTCGGTTCGAAGGGTGGGGTAGCCGTTATAACTATACTGAGATCTTAGAACTTATATCTCGAGGTGGGTGGCGCATTTACGTTGTAGATGTCTATGGGCTCCAGTAACCACTTAACACCAGGTGGGCTGTGAGCTCGTCCATCCATCCAAGCAATAAAAAAAAATAAAAAAAATTTTTTAAGCTGTAATCAGTTTCTACCCTAATAAGATGCAAATTAAATATAACTTATATTCTTCAGACTAAGTAGGAGAATCATGCTAAAAGACATAGCCCTAGAGATTGCGTGATTGAAATGACAGTAGCCAGAACACAACGGTCATAGAAGAGACGCCCCCTGGGGTTAGAATGTGGTGACCACGCGCTATAGGACGCAGCGTTAGTGCTCCCACCTTTGAAGGGTCGCAAATCCACAGGAAGCTGGCAATAATCATATTATTTTAATTAATATAAATTGAATATGCCAATTTCGAAAAGGGCACATCTCTGAAAATGTAAAATGTTCAGGAAATGAAAAAAAAACTAATTATTTTCTAAAGCAGTGTAAAATTTAAAATATTAACTTTTGAGATATATTTTAGTGTTAATTAGCAATCGAAAATTACTGGAATTATTATAAAATGGGTGTAGGTAAGCCTCAAAACTACATGTATATGAAAAAACGCATTTGACAAAATATGCGACATGTGCCCTTTTCGCATTGCATATTCAATTATTTTATTAATATGTGTCTAAATACGGAAATATAATAATATGTGTACACTCTAAAACAGCCGAGCCGATTTAGATGAAAATGTAGGTAGTTTTCGGATTGGCCTAGCCAATGATACTGTCAAGTTTGGTAGCAATCGGACTAAAGTCAAATCAAATATCCGCCAGCAAAGCGTGCTGGTTTTGATTAACGTTCCAACAAAAACCCTCAAAATTATACCACTTCAACGATACCATTAAATACGCTACGGGACTTTCAACACTAAGCTAAAGCGTCTGAAGATTTAAAATCGTGAGCAGAGAACGTCTAAACAGTAACGAACGTTTAATTAATTTAATTATTATAACAATCGTAAAATTACGCAACGAAGTTATGGGATTCAGTCGTCGTCGGCAGATCCTTCGAATCCCTTTTTAAGGGTTAACGCCCTGTATTTGAGTGATGTAGGCAAAATAAAAGAGAACTGTTCAAGTCGACAATTCGTGTAATACTGTCAAAATTTAGTGTGTGCATTTTTTTAAAGCTTTTGCATAGATTTTATCGCGTGCCTTGAGCGCGGCTTGAGAGCGGAATCGTGAAATTCTGTAACGAAAAAAACCTTCCACCCCTCACTGCGCCTACTATAGTAGCTCGCGTTTAACACTTTCACACGTTGCGCTTGTGTAGTATTTACAGTAAGAAGTCTAAACACCGATTTATGTACTATCAAAATATGTGATATAATTTCGTGGGTAACATAACGATAGCGCGATTCAGCTTTTGCGTGAACGCCATCTATCGGCGACAAACGGTTTTTAATTGCTTAGGTGGGTGGACGAGCTCACAGCCCACCTGGTGTTAAGTGGTTACTGGAGCCCATAGACATCTACAACGTAAATGCGCCACCCACCTTGAGATATAAGTTCTAAGGTCTCAAGTATAGTTACAACGGCTGCCTCACCCTTCAAACTGAAACGCATTACTGCTTCACTGCACAAATAGGCAGGGTGGTGGTGGTACCTACCCGCGCGGACTCACATGAAGTCCTACCACCAGTAATACACTCATTTAACACAAAGCACATGTAAAGTTATTCTAAAGTAAATTCAGTGCAATTCATGGTTAGCGGGGGTTGAGCGATAATTGTCGACTCCCCATTCCGCAAACCCGCGTTGAATCGCATTCATTAGTACACTAAATACAAGCCCCTTTATTACGGTTCGACGTTGGCTGAGTCGTGTGACGTTTCCGGAATCCATTTTAATTGGAGTTGAGATTATTAATGCGCGATTATTAAAAGTGGTTCTTTTAAATATGATATTATTATTATTTTTGAAGTTATACTTCTTTAGGCGCGTTATGAAAAAATTATGAGAGTGAAATTTTACAATGCGCGCGCACCGTGACACAAAATTAACAGAATGAAGTTGCCCATTAAATCGCTCATTACAATACGACCGACGTAGCTTGGCGAGTCTGAATATAGCCGCAGGTGAACTTTCCGAACCGTACCGAGAATTACCGAATTTATACGATGTCAAGAAAAGGGATGTCCAATACGCATGTTTGAGGATGTTGTTTAATTGATTTTTTTTTAAATTGATTAAAATTTAAATAAATAAAAAAGAAATAAATTTAATAAAAATAAAGTATAACTTCTTACGCGCGTACATAAGTACACGCACCCTTTTTTTTATTGCTCAGATGGATGGCGAGCTCACCACCTGGTGTTAAGTGGTTACTGGAGCCCATAGACATCTACAACGTAAATACCGCCACTCACCCTGAGACATGAGTTCTAAGGTCTCCGTTTTTACAGTACAAAGGCTGCTCCGCTCTTAAGCTGAAACGCATTACTGCTTCATGGCAGAAATAGGCATAGCGATGGTGCCTACCCGTGCGGGTCTATTTTTTTTGCCAGCTACGCTTTTATTATACGATGCTATTCCTTTACCGTGGAAGTGATTCGTGAAAATTAACTAATTACGTATATTGTTAGATTTTTTTATCTGTCTGCAGGATTCTAACACCGGCACGGTCGCATCGCTCGATACGAATGCACCGGGTTTCTTATCATTTAGGGCTTTTCACAGTCTCCTGTGTGGTGAGCTAGTAATTCCTCCCATAATAATTCCATTTCACTACGTTTGCCGCTAGGGGCGCTGTTCCAACTTCATACAAGTTTGAGTTAACTTTTACGCGAACGAGAACGTTAAAAAACTCGCACTAAGCACACTGATTGCTATAACATGCCTTTCTTGGAATGAGACTTGAGAAACAGTATTTAGAATCCTATAGTAATAACTTACCACCAGCTGAGCCATGAAATTATGAATTCTTAGAACTAACTAGCGACCCGCCCTCGCTTCGCTTCGGAAACATTAAATTTTATTATTGATAGGCGAAGCCCGCCATGTTGCGCGCGGTACGACAATAACTGCGGGTGACGCCGCGGGGCGAAGCTAGTCTAAAAATAGTACCCTAAGTTACTACTTATATCATCAGATACCTTGAAAGTCTCATCAAAATCGGTCCAGCCGTTCCAGAGATTAACCGGAACAAACAGACAGACAGACAGACAAAAATTGTAAAAAATGTAATTTTGGTGTATGTACCTACCGTGTATATAATATATTCATATGCATTTGGTAAAAAGCGGTTATTTCAATATTACAAACAGACACTCCAATTTTATTTATATGTATAGATATATTTCTATCTTATAGATACTAGCTATTACCCACGGCCTTGTCCGCGTGGTTAAAGAGATTTGTCATTATGTTTTTCCGGAAAATAAGATATTATTTCTGTATAAAAGATAGATCTCCTCACATAATATATAATACTACTAAATAATTTATGTCATTCCGTTGTGTTTATTTCGACGTGAAATAAGGCCGTACAAACACATTTTCACATTTATGTTATTAGTTTTCTCTATAGGCTTGTGTTTGTGTTCCCTATAGACTCCAAAACGGCTGGACCGATTTCGCGAATATTCACTACTATTTTTTTAATTTTATTATTTTATTTATATGTATAGATAGGGATGGTTTAAAATCCTTACGCGTTTTTTTCTGTTGCAGGTACTTCAAACGCAAATACAACATGTTATAGCGCGAAAACGACTCATTTGTAATCGAGTGTCACGGAATAAAACATTAAATATTTAGTTTAAAAAAAAAAAACAAAAAACGAATTAATAGAACAATGGGTTGCAATACTAGTTCGGAAGCGAAAAACGAAAAAAACAATCAAAATGAACAGAAGGCACAGAATAACGAGAATAAAGCCAATAACGCTACGGGTGAGTACAGAAAACGTACTTAGTTAAAATATAATGTAAATTCACGATTGAGGCCTATAAAATCAAAGGCAGCTAAACACCATAATGTCGTAAAATGTATTAACAATGGCGCTATCTTGTTTAGTTAGTTGAACATGCTTTAGTGTTTTCATGTTATAATAAATGCAGCTAAACCTCTAACAAATTCAGTTCAAAAAAGTTAAGTTTACTCTGCATTAAGTACTAATAAACGAAGTTTTATCATTTAAAATTCAGATTATTAGTAATATTCTCTCATCTCATTCTTTATAAATCTGTTTTAAAATAAAGAATATCGTAGCTATACCAACAAAGTTATTTCAGATTCTCAAACCGGGAGTGTTATCAACACTGGCCCTAGCAAGAGCAGTACTTCGATGGATCAGGAGGATCCGTAATGACGTGTTTAGGGCCGATTTTTGTAGTTTACCTCAATATTTGACAGACTTGGATATAGCTGCCTTTGATTTTATAGGCCTCAATTCTCGTGTTTGTTCATGTCATCAAAGGTTCTGGAGTTTATTCGAAAGACCTTAATTATTTTTACAGGTTAGCGCCATCTATGCGACAACCTTTGAAACAATGAGATACAAACAAAATGTTAATTTTAGTTATGAAATTTTTTGTCCGTTCTAGTTGTGAAAATCGTTCAGAGATGGCGCTGAATGTTCAAGTCGAACACCGTGTGACGCAGAAAACTTTTCAATTAAAAATTAAAACAACTTTTCGAGCCACGACTTCTGCTACGTTTAATTTTTATAATTATTTTTTTATCTCTTAATTTGCTATGGGTGATCTCAACGCTAACTAGAGAGATATAGTTGAATTTTTTTATTACTAATGACGGATCACTGGTGGCCCGGAGGCCTTTTAAGTTTCACCAGGAGTGGTGAGCGAGCAAATACTCAGCCAGGAGGAGAGGTTGACGTCTCAATTATACAGTAACACATGAATAGGCCACCGATTATGGCACCATTTTGTATTGGTTGTTGTTTTTACCGGGCCTTACTGGACTGTCGGATTACTAATGAAGTTAGAAAGTCATTATAAACGAAGGCGTTGTCACTTTAGTGTTGTCTACGCCATCCACTAACTACTTAAAACCAGGTAATCCGTGAGACTATCTGAACTACACTAAGACACAATGTAGTACTTTAAATATTTCAAATACATTTTGATCGTAAAAAGGACATTGAATACAAATATATATATATTTTTGGATTTCGAAATCTCATGTTTCACCCATCCCGATAGCTCGGAGTTCGCGTGCCGCCCCCCGATTTTTACAACACCCATAAATTATTCTCACTTGAATAATTCCTCGATTTATATGTAGCCGACAAGTTCTATTTGGTTTCCATATGAATATATACTTACAAATCGGTCATACGCGCCCTCCATCGCTTGCGCGGAGAACGGAGATTGTATAGTCCGTCAAATGTGGCCTAATACGCGAGACAGTAGGCAGAGCGGTCATTTTTAGGCTCCGGTCGACAAAAAGAATTGAAGGAAGTAAACAAATAAAAAAGATGTGTGGTGTCTGTAGATGGTGTCTGAAAGATGTCTGGTGGTGGTATTATAAAAATATTAATTTTAAGTTCTATTCGAGCTATAAAGAAAATAATTATTCGGGTATACATTTTTAATTATGATTTTTTCATTAATAAAAAAAAAACTACTTTACAAAGTTATCAACTTTATTTTATTCACAATGATTTATAAAAATATATATATAATAATAATAATATACAAAGAAATAGCTATTTATATGAATAATAATAATAGCCGTCATCACGTAGACTATACATTAGACACTGTATAGCCATCATACATTTTTTACTGGTGGTAGGACCTCTTGTGAGTCCGCGCGGGTGGGTACCACCACCCTGCCTATTTCTGCCGTGAAGCAGTAATGCGTTTCGGTTTGAAGGGTGGGGCAGCCGTCGTTACTATATTTGAGACCTTAGAACTTGTATCTCAAGGTGGGTGGCGCATTTACGTTGTGGATGTCTATGGGCTCCAGTAACCACTTAACATCAGGTGGGCTGTGAGCTCGTCCACCCATCTAAGCAATAAAAAAAATATACTAAGACTATACATAAATAATAAAAATCTTACGTTACGGACTTTTTTCCCGGTTGGGGTACTCCTCCGCATCGTCCCATAAGGAGCTTCGTTCCAAAAATCTTACAAGCGTACCAAGCTTTATTTAAAAGACTATAGGACTAAGATGTTCGTATGCGATACTGCCTCTTAAAATTGCAGTAAGGTGCGAATTTACTGAATATTATAAAGCTCTGGACATTCACTTTTGAAATTGAACTTTAAACTTTCTGGTTTTTTTTTTTTAAAAACGTTGCGTCTAGGATCGCCCGACTTAAGTGATAACTTAAGCTAATCTAAGTTAAACTAATTAATATTGAAGTTAATTACTTAAATAATATGATAATGTAAGGAAAATTGTCAAATAAATTGAAAAAGATATATAAATAGTTAGGAGTTACATACTTTCTCGGTACCGCTGTTGTATGCGTGAGAGAAAGGGACGCCAGACAAACTGGCGCCGTAACGCGTTACGTGACGTACCGACTTACCCTCCCATAAAAAGTTATCACTTCAAAAACTTATGCTAACAAAAGTCACACATTTTTTTATAAAATAAATATTATAAAAGTCAGAGATACCAATAATGAAATTCCATAGGGTTTTTGTGAAAAAATTATAGTTATAAGCATTTTCAACAATGAACATGTTACTTACTACTAGCTTCCTCTAATACCACGAACATCCTTCTCTAATCTGATGTCAATATTGATTGATTGATTGATTGATTGATACCAAAATAGTGTTTAAATGTTCAAAATTTTTCCTTAAATTTGTCTAAGCATATTTTAACTATGTAGCAAACCGACCGGTACGTCACTCTCGCGGCCGTATGCCCGCTCGCTATACATAGTTAGTATCTATGTCAATCTTGTAACAGTGTATAATCTATGTTCCGGGCGCTTCCGTTTTGAGTGTGAATAGCGTGCGCCCGCGTCTAAATTTAATTAATGTTTAAAATTGAAAATTATTTGTGTTAAAGGAAGATTAAAATTCGAAATTCGATATTGGTGACTAACCCATAGTTTTAAATACCCCTGAGATCTACCCCTCACTATATCTGGCTGCCCAACGTTTCCTAATTTTTTTCTTGCTTGGACTAACAAAATGGCGCGCACGCTTTTGTGAAAAATTTGCTAACTATTGTATGCTGNTGAGATGCTAGTCCAGGAGCGAGGGCGTCCTCCAGGACTAGAGGGGGAGTATGTAGCAAACCGACCGGTACGTCACTCTCGCGGCCGTATGCCCGCTCGCTATACATAGTTAGTATCTATGTCAATCTTGTAACAGTGTATAATCTATGTTCCGGGCGCTTCCGTTTTGAGTGTGAATAGCGTGCGCCCGCGTCTAAATTTAATTAATGTTTAAAATTGAAAATTATTTGTGTTAAAGGAAGATTAAAATTCGAAATTCGATATTGGTGACTAACCCATAGTTTTAAATACCCCTGAGATCTACCCCTCACTATAACTATAAGTACATAACTATATATTATGATTTTTAATCATGTTTTTCCTTTGATCTCATTTTAATTTCACATTTTATTTTAATTAGTGTTTTAAAGAAGACCTTAATTTCTTGACGCAAAAGGCATGATCGTTTATAGGTATAGTTCGAGTTTGTTATTGTAGAAATTAATTTGTCTTAAATGCCAAAGGCACAAGAGTGCAGAAAAAGAAAGAGAGAGAGAGAAAGAGAGAGAGAACGAAATAAACAAACCTATTATTATAACCTTTAAACGCCATGTTTTGCTGTAGTTTGTACAAAAAAGATAAAGAACTTACACACGAATCATATCAGACGATCGTATAGACATTGTACATTCGATTATTGATATTCACTATATTCAAAACATTTAATCTCGATTTTAATTTACACGTAGCATTGAAGAATTGAGTTCTTGTAAGCATTGGACGGCCGTTTCAGAAGAGAATTGAGAATTCGACTTTATGTGTGAAGATTGGTAATCAAGTTGATATCATGATTCGGTGATCACACAACACTCGATGGCTTTTGAACTCAGCCATCTATAATGTCCAGTAAAAAAAATCTATGAAAAAATCAAATGAATACACTCTCTCTCTCTTTCTCTCTCTCTCTCTCTCTCTCTCTCTCTTTCTCTCTCTCTCGTATCCAACGGTATTCCCACTGGGGCTTTAGTTCCATGAGATTTTCCTTCGTAAATATTGTATGATACAATCCAAGTCACAGATTGACTTCATGATTTCTGGGGGAATGCTCTCACGAATCGTGGGGATATTCGAGGGTGTAATTTGCAATTCATAAGTAAACTTATTCGTAATAGAATAAAGTAGGTTTTACTTTAAACACAAAAATGAATGTATAAAATTAGAATGAGCGGAGTTCGTGGAAATCACGATGTCAGTGTTGGCTGTAAGTTAGGACGTGAAGCTAGTCTTTTCGGATCCTCCCGATCCATTAACGGTGCTTTTGGGTACCTTAAGCACTGGTCATTGTTCTCGTCGAACCCGTCGCTTGCGACGAAGGGCTCTACGAGTAAATTAACCCATAGACTCAGCCCACTGAGTTTCTCGCCGGATGTTCTCAGTGGGTCGCGTTTCCGATCCGGTGGTAGATTCTGCGAAACACGGCTCTTGCTAGGGTTCGTGCTAGCAACGTCGTCAGGTTTGAGCCCCGTGAGCTCACCTACGTACTAGGGCGAAGCTGAAATAGCCTCTCAAGGCTATCAGCATAGGTAGGAAAAAAAAGTGAAGCTAGTCTCCTATTTGCTCAAACTCGAAGACAACCTAAATAAGAGGAATTATCTGACTACCAGTGAATATAAAAAAGACGAAATTTGATATTTATCATGTGGCCGGTCCTATTTTACCAAACATCTACGCAGAATGATAAGACAT